TTTTTTTTTTTCAAGATGGAGTCTTGCTCTGTCACCCAGGCTGGAGTGCAACGGTATGATCTCAGCTCACTGGAACCTCCACCTCCCAGGTTCAAGCCATTCTCCTGCCTCAGCCTCCCAAGTAGCTGGTACTACAGGCATGCATCACCAAGCCTGGCTAATTTTTGTATTTTTAATAGAGATAGGGTTTCACCATGTTAGCCAGGCTGATCTCAAACTCCTGACCTCAAGTGAGCCGCCTGCCTTGGCCTCCCAGAGTTCTGGGATTACAGGTGTGAGCCACCACGCCCGGCCTTTAGTAACATTTTCAAAATGTGTTTGTAGAGACTATATTCCCTAATCACACTGAAGTCTCTGTTCTTTAGCTTGTGTTCATCCTGTGTTCTGACAGAGGTTTCCTGAATGTTGGAAGCTAAAAGTAAAAAAGATGAAAAACACAAAAACCTGACCTCTTCGGGTCTCTGTGCATGGCTCTGTGCTGGGTCATTCCTTGAACACTTAGCGAGGCTATTTAAAACTCTGCTTTTTAGCCTTTATGTTCTATTTTACCAAACCCAGACATCAGCCAGAGCTGAAATTGAGGGTTTCCCTAGGTCTTCTATGAAAATGTTACTTCCTGTGCTTGCTTGTGACTTTCTCAATTCCGCAGCATACCTGGGTGCCTTTGAATACCCTAGTTTCTGAAGGAAAATTTCTCTCCAGATTTTTTCCCTGGGACTTAGATGGTCTCAGATCTTAATCATAATCTGTTTCCTGAGTGATTGCAGTCTTTTTGTGTATTTTACAGTCTTTTTGTGTATCAAGATGTTCCTGACACGTTTGTCCCTGATTTCCATTACAGATGAAATAGAGTAAAGAGTCCTAGGGCCAGGTGCAGTGGCTCACAACTTTAGTAACCCCAGCACTTTGTGAGGCTGAGGTGGGCAGATCACAAGGTCAGGAGTTCAAGACCAGCCTGGCCAAGATAGTGAAACCCCATCTCTACTAAAAATACAATATTAGCTGGGTGTGGTGGTGGGGTGCTTGTAATCCCAGCTACTCAGGAGGCTGAGGCAGGAGAATTGTTGGAACCTGGGAGTCAGAGGTTACAGTGAGCCAAGATTGCACCATTGTACTCCAGCCTAGGCGACAGAGTGAGACTTGTCTCAGGGAAAAAAAAAAAAATCTTGTGTCAGACCTTCATATAGTCCCCATACTAATTGGAAAATACAAAGACAATTTGCAAATAAGATCCGATCTGCTGTCTGTAGAATCATTGACCAGGGTTTCATACTGGGATCTCAGGCTGCTGTGTTCAAGACTGATACTGCAGTGGCTCATGCCAGTAATCCCAGCACTTTGGGAGGCCAAGGCGGACGGATCACCTGAGGTCAGGAGTTCGAGACCAGCCTGACCAACATGGAGAAACCCCGCCTCTACTAAAAATACGAAATTAGCAGGGCGTGGTGACGGATAACTGTAATCCCAGCTACTCAGGAGGCTGAGGCAGGAGAAATGCTTGAACCTGGGAGGCAGAGATTGTGCCATTGCACTCCAGCCTGGGCAGCAAGAGCAAAACTTCGTCTCAAAAAAAAAAACAAAACTGACACTGAGGTGGGGAGGGATGAGACCAAGGACAAATGAAAACCCCACAAGGCTTTCCTACCATTTTTCACATTCATTTTTAAATTTATTTGTATCTCTGTTAATAGTATGGGAGCTGAATATTATAGTTTTAAAATTATTTATCTGTTCTTACAAAGCTGTCACTTTGTTGATGAGAAGCTTTTTAGCATTTTTATACATTTGTGACTTCTATTAGATTTGGTAATATAATTTTTTGTTGGCTACTAAACAAAAGTCTGATTTAGCTATTTAGGGAATATTATAGATATTCATGAGAGGTGACATTGAGTTCTTTTATTTATTTATTTATTTATTTATATTTTATATAGATATAGATATTTTGACACAGAGTTTTACTCTTGTTGCCGAGGCTGGGGTACAATGGCACGATCATGGCTCACTACAACCTCCGCCTCCTGGGTTCAAGCGATTCTCCTACCTCAGCCTCCTGAGTACCTAAGTTTATGGTCATGTGCCACCACGCCTGGCTAATTTTATATTTTTAGTAGAGATGGGGTTTCTCCATGTTGGTCAGGCTGGTCTCGAACTCCCAACCTCAGATAATCTGGTCCCTCAGCCTCTCAAGGTGTTGGGATTACAGGCGTGAGCCAACACGCCCAGCCTGACTTGGGTTCTTTCTAAAAACACGTGTAATCTGTCCCCTTTGTTATCCTTTGACATTACCTAATAAAAAGTTTAGGCCGGGCGCGGTGGCTCAAGCCTGTAATCCCAGCACTTTGGGAGGCCGAGGCGGGTGGATCACGAGGTCAAGAGATCGAGACCATCCTGGTCAACATGGTGAAACCCCGTCT